TGCAAATATGTCTATAAATAAATACATTTCCACATGTAAAGAAATTAAAATGATGGATCCGAACTCCAGAATATGGACAGCAGTAAAATACATTCACCTCAGTTTCACTTTCCGTTTTAAAGCATATTGGTAAGAGGGTATTTTACCTAATGAAGAAGTTATCGTTGCAAACAAGCTTCGGATGGCAAGATTTATGTTAAGAAGTTTTGAAAAAAGTTCCAACATCATGAAGTTTAATGACACCCCTATAGTATTGAATTATAACGAGATAACTGTGCACGTGAAAGCTATTGTTTGGTCATCAATTGCAAGAACCGCTAACCACGTCTTTTAGTGAGCTGTCACGTGCTCGTTTTCTCTCTTATTATTATATTTTTGTGAATATTATATACCTATATATGTGATTGAGTTCCTCCTAATAAAAAAAAAAGAGTAAATAAATGCACATAAAACAACGCTTTTCTGTCGGGTCTCAGGTGTAATTAAGGGGATTAAGAAAACAATATGCAAGTGTGAATAACTTAATTAAAATGGATATATAATGTGTTGACAGATTAGGTTTACCAAAAATACCGCTCTATTTCTTCTTCAAAGACATCGTGTCACCATGTAGGAGACAGCCAGAGACAGAGATTTACGGTGAGCATTACGTGACGTTATTTCTACTCGGGGGGTGGTGTGACGGGAAGATCAACTTGGCTTGGGGATAGAGAGGGGGGAGATGGATTCCCGCTAAGGTCAAGACATCGAAAGGATTAAGTGATAAACGCTTCACTCTATCGACGGCCCTGGTGATTCCCTAGATGGTTGTAACCTAGCCGATGACCAGTACCTGAGGACACTGGACAAACAGGCACAGGTCATTATTTACCAGAGTAATCAGTAATGAGTGCTAAGCGGTCGTTATAAAATGTTCAGAACACCTGTGTAGAGCGGTAAACGTTTCATCATTAAAAGTCTAATAAAACTGTCTGTTTCACATTTTCTGACAAAGAGGGGTTTAGTTAGTTAAAATTCTAATTCTAACATTTCAAAGAAAGGGGACGAACAGCCGGAAGAGTAAACGAACTCAGAAGTTAGCAAATCACTTATCTTGGATTCGTTTGGAATAGTGTAACGCGGTTGATCCATCTGTGGTAGTTTAAAAGTAATTTATTATTTCGCTGCTCATGGCCAATAAGAACAGATGTAACACTCGTAGGAACATTATCTGTTTAGGGCTGAATTATTACAACCGATCTCATTTCCTAGTTTAGTTTCTCAAGACTAGTTTGGACGTGAAACTAGTGCATCATCCAGTGTTTCTACAATGTCTGCTCACTGCTACGGCGGGTATTGGAGTCAGGAGTCAGAGTCCATGTCCTGCGTGTCAAGGTAATTAATACTTGATGCAACATTTTGGTTAAAATATCTGGTAACATTCTGAGATGTTTTCGTTTCACTATTTTATGGGGCGTGATTTAAAATATAAGTTGTGAAAGATTAATAAAGGGCATCAAGCTATGATAAATGTTTGTGCATATACATATTTGTATTGTTATATAGTACATAGAGATTTATATTCAGCATTCACGTATGCCTAGTTAACGTAATAATAGAAGGATTTATATAACGTCCGATCAGAGCAAACTACCAACTTTGAGTGAAACTAAAAATCAACCTGCTAATGGGCATAGCTAATTAAATGTCCTTTACTTACGTTCTTCAAAATAAATTAGAATACACTGTTTCCTCCTTTGAATACCCCTCGCTGTCTAGGATATTTTCAACTGTAATACTTCATGTCCTTTCAGCAGTAATGCTTCATGTCTTTTCAACTGTAATACTTCATGTCCTTTCAGCAGTAATGCTTCATGTCTTTTCAACTGTAATACTTCATGTTAAGAATATTTTCA